CATCAAGAGGAAATCATGCCTGACAAATCTGTTTGCTTTCTATGATGTCATCACCAACGGGGTAGGCAGGGGTTGTGCACCTTGACTTCAGCAAGCTGTCTGACATCATCTCCCACAACATTCTTGTTATCGAACTTAGAAAGTGTGGGACAGATGAGTGGATGGTGAGGTAGATTGACAACTGGCTGACTGGCACAGCTCTTCACAGAGTCTGGCTGGAGGCTTGTGACTAGTGGCGTTCCCCAGGGGCAGGCGCTGGGTCCGATCTTGTTCAACATCTTCATTAACAACCTGGATGAAGGGATAGAGTCCATGCTCAGCACGTTTGCTGATGGTACAAAACTGGGAGGAGTGGCTGCCACAGTTGGGCAGGGAGGAACCTGATAAGGCTGAACAAGAGTATGTGCAGAGTCTTGCGCCTGGGGAGGAATAACCTCATGCATCAGTACAGGTTAGGGGCTGACCTGCTGGAAAGGAGCTTTGCAGAGAAAGACCTGGGGGTCCTGATGGAGCACAGGCTAGCAATGAACCAGCAACATGCCCTTGTGGCCAAGAAAGCCAATGGTATCCTGGGGTGCATTAAAAAGAGCGTGGCCAGCAGGTCAAGGGAAGTGATCCTCCCCCTCTGCTCTGCCCCGGCGACATTTAGACATTTAAAATACTGTGTTCAGTTCAAAAATAGATAGGGATTTCTGGGAAAGAGTCCCATGCAGGGCCACAAAAATGATAAAAGGCCTGAAGCATCTACCATATCAGGAAAGTCTGAGTAACATTGGTGTGTTCAGCCTTGAGAAAAGACAACTGAGATGGGACATGATAAATATTTAGAAATATCTAAAGAGAGGCAGGAGGCAGATGGATGAGGCCAGGCTCTTCTCGGTGGTGTGCAGCAATAGAACAAGGAGTAATGGCCTAAAACTTGAACATAGGAAATTTCATACAAACGAGGAAAAATATCTTTACACTAAGGGTGACAGAACACTGGAACAGGCTGCCCAGAAAGACTGTGGAGTCTCCTTCTATGGAGATATTCAAGACCCTCTGAATGCCTACCTGTGTGATCTACTATAGGGTACCTGCTTTGGCAGGGGATTTGGACTCAATGATCTCAAGGTCCCTTTCGACTTCTGTAATTTTATGATTCTGTGGTAAACTCTCCACTTGACTACCTGAACCGGCTGGTTAGTTGAAAGCAATACGGCATGTGCACATGTGCAAGCTTCACAGCTCCCTCAGCCTGCTGACCCAGCAGCCTGTACTAAAATAGGCTTTTAGATACCAAAGTATCTAAAATAATGGATAGGGTGGACACCTATGCAGCAGATCAAAGATAACATCAAAATTTGTGTATGGACAAAATCTCTCTAAATTGATCAGATAAAATCAGAATGGGAATAAAAGAAGCATTTGTGCCACTTGGGTCTTCTTCAGAAGTACATGCTCTGCTTCCTTCCCTCTTTATATGGTATGCTACAAATGTGCTGAGAACTCCACAGACCATTTTTCCTTCCTTCTCTGCTATACTCACATCCTCCAAATATATCTTCCCAAGCAAGAACATAAATAATGTCTTAAGACAAGAATGATTCAGTTTCCAAGTGGTGCCTTTTTCAACCCACCACGGCCTGGACTTCTCTCAAAATTCATACCAGCTTATTTCTTCATAACTCCCCTCTCCAGCTCACTGTCAATATCCCAGCTGTATTCTCATCCTCTGCTACACTTGCACATGAATAAGTAACTGTTACACAGGCAGATATTTCAGTGTTTGCACTTGTCTTTAGAAATCAAAGCCTTCTCTGATTAAATGCCATTACAGTCCAGCGCTTGGACGGATCCAGAGAGATTAATGTGCTCTTGGGCAGCTTTAATGATAATCCTGCTACAGACGGTATTAAGTAAATGTCAGTAACCTGGTTTGAAGGGAGCTTTCACCTCAGGGATCTTTTCCATTTAGAGAAGAGAAGCTCAGCTTGATTTCAAGGCTGCGTTGTCACAAAAGAGAAATCCTGCTTACTGAATACCCCTCTTTCTCAGCTCAGTAAAACAAAATGGAGTAAGGTGATAGAAGGATTGATAAACAGATTGAAGTGATATATGGGGAACTAATGCATCTCCTGAAAACAAAAACTGCTGTATAAGTCACATCGTAGTTTTGGAACTTTTGTTGCCACCCCCTCCACAAGTTCCTTTCAGTGCCTGCCGCCTTTTGCTCATTTTGCCACCACGCCATGTAGATCCTTACCCATAGCATCAAGCAGCAGCAAATACTGGACTTTGGTCACACCTGTTCCCATCTGCTGCATCTCACACCATTCCTACCTCACCTTATTGTGGCCATAGTAACAGACCTTATATCTCATCATATACTTCTCACAGGGCTGGTGCCCTTTCTTTTGTACTGTTATTTACTGGCAGTCAGGAAAAGATGATCATTAATTTGGAGGAGCAGGGAGAGAAAGAAAGGAAGAACGGCTCAGCACAGGTACTGAAACAGTCAGCAGAAATGTGTGATTCTACCACTGAGATGAGTAACATCACACACGTGACAGACTACCAGAAACCTCCACGGCTTATACTTTGCCATAGTAAAAATTTGTTGACAACTTCTTTATAATTACATTTTTACAGGTCAGTAAAATACGTGGTTTCATTGCTGCACGGAACCTATCCTGCCAAGGTATCACAAAACAACCTTCCCAAAGGAACAGATGAACAAAAACAAGAGCTCAATTTTCTAAATCTAAAGGTTCTAAATCTCTTCTATTAAAGCGAAGACCCCTGAAAGTTAGGGGAAAAAAAAAAAAAAATGAAGTCAGCTTCTTCTGTGCTTGATTTTGACATATACTCTCAGCAAAATATCCCATCGAAAAGCTGAAGTTATTGAGTTTTCCACATTGGCTGTCTGGAGAAAGCCCTGGAAGATTGCCGAGAATGCACTTCCCTGGGCTTCTCCATACAACTTTGAATTCTCAAACTGCTGGAGGTAGCAAACAACCAAAATGTCAAGCGGATCTGCTGGGCTGGTTACCTCAGTCTCAGAATAGATCTTCTGTCCAAGAACTCTGAGGAAGCCCTGCCCAAAATGTGCATGTAAATATCGTTCAAGAGTCCTCCTGTTAAGGCATCAAAATGAGCCTGACTATTCCAAGGCTGGATATTGAGAAATATTTAGTCTTGTATCTAAGTGCTGCGGACTAGATTTGACCTTTGCCCATATAGCACAAAAGGGCTTATGTAAGATATATTTGCTCAAAGAAACAACTCACTTTTGACCAGTTGTTTTGTCTGGGAGAATGGAGCTGACTGGTTGTTCTGAAGTCTAACTAGGCTTTTTAAATTTCAAGTGACAGAAGTCCACCAGCTATCACGTTCTTCTGAGTCACACAATGACGCATCATGCAGGAACCTACCTTGGCAAATATAAAGGAAGATAATCAGCACAAAATAGACACAGAATTGTGTCTACCTCTGATCAGCTGACAATCATTTCTCTGACTCCCTGATGGGAGTGAGGAGAAAAACTAATGACCAAAATGCTCCAAATGCTTCCTGATGGAGATGTGAAAGAAGACAGACTGCATTGTATACAAGGCAGTTATTCAAGAAGCCTCTTTAATAAAAATTGATCAGACATCTTTCAGAGAAGTCATTCACTACTGTCCATTGACCTTGACTTGTTCATCATTATTAGAATGGAAAGAGACTCAAAATCTATTTTAACCTTTGAATTTTCTTTCCCGTATTTCAGTGGTGAAACAAGAAAAGGTGCCTGTCTTTTGCCTGCAGCAGTTACTAGAAAATATGTTATTGGCTTCTGCTGGGTGCAAGAGCAGAGAAAGAAGTGTCCTATCCAGAGAAAAAGGCAGGTTGTTTAGTCCTCCACCAGACATTTTTCTGTTATCATGGTGACTTAGGGAAGCAGCTCAGAAGATACATACAACATTCTCTCTTTGCGAGGCATACCAAACTCACTTTTCCCTTCCCCTGAAACACCCTTGGTATATCTTAACCAACATCACAAGAACTTTCTTATAGATAGAAAGAAGAAGCAGAAAGGAAGAAGAGTAAAGAGAGAGAGGAAGCATTCAGAAGTGAGAATTAAGTGGATGGACAGATTAAGTACAATTGATTTTGCTAGCTTTAATAGCCAATCAACTGAGTGTGGCTTTGAGGTTCACAAACAGGGCACAATGAGAAAGGCAAAAAGCACTGCCTCAGTCAGCACTCACTGACCAAGAGGGCTGGTTTTCCACATTGTTGAATGGCCCAAAACTCTTTCCTCAGGCACCTTAGCTTTCTTGTAAGTAATGCCTTGTTTCCTCAAGAATCTCTTAGCCACAAAGAATCCAAATCTTCCAACTTCATGGCACACAAATTATCTTATCCATCAGAGAAATATGGCTTCCCCAGGGATGAAATCTAGCAGTTGTTTAATGAGGGACAAGAAAATTACACAGTAGTATTGGAGCAAGAAACAAAGAAGAAAACTATTGAGTTACATTCAAAAGAAAGATTTTGGAAATCAGAATTGAACAATCCAAGAATATTATGCAAAACACCATGGGTCAAGCCACTCCAGTAACTATGATCATACAAGGCCTATAATCTGTGCCTCCTAATGGGTTACAGAAGCTACATCCCATGCATTTGCCCAAGAGAAAGTTAATCCTGAAGAAAGATAGAGGAAGAAAAGAGACAAAAAGATCTGAAGCTGAAGCAGTTCTACTAGGATAACACAGACTGTCACGTTGAAACAAAACATTGGTGTGCACAGTATAGAAGTATGGTTATCACTCTGAAGATCTCTAGCTGTACAGTCCTACAGAAGAGTGTTCCCAAAAGGGATTGTATACATTCCCAAAAGCAAAAGAACTAAGATCTTTCAGATTGATTACTCTCTTCATACAAATATATGCTCCCTTTTCTGCCCTTCCTGTCCTATCAGCCTTGGTCTAACATTGCTCACATGCCCAGTTCAGAGGCAGCTGAGAAAATACCTCATTGACATCAATGCCATTCTTCTCCATGTATGCCTTGTCATTCACCTGTCCCCCTTCCATGAATTCCATGAGAAGAACACGCCTTGTTGAGAGCTCCCAATAGATTCTGGGGACCTGAAAAGGGAATAGATGGCTTTGGTCAAACAACAGGCTGGGGAAAGGAAGGAGAACATATCACAGTTCAGAAAAGGAACAAAAAAAGCAAGAGGTTGAAATAAGGACTTCTTTTCTCCCCAAGCACAACAGAGGTAAATCCATCTAATGGTACTGCAGGTCGCTTCCTGGGACAACACACTGCAAAACAACACACCAATACAACCGTAGAAGAGTCTGTGCTTCTGGAACATTTCAGGCACTGCTCTATGAGATTTTGACCTCTTCCCACTCCCACTATTGTCTGATATCTCTTCCTTATCTGCTTCACAGCTCCTAAAACTGACTTGCTCAGTACTAACTACAAGTTTCTGAATCATTCACTTGGTGCCTTTAGACAGGAAACAGATCTCCTTCGCTACACACAGGGCACACTTACACAGTTCTAGAAATGATAAGACATCATCATAAATTGCATCTCAGTAGTGCTCCTTGAAACACAAACGCATTTGAGCTGACAAACCCCACGTATTTAGGCCATCTGCAATCAAACCAGGAGAAAAATCAAGTGTCACAAATAAAAGGCATGTCATAGAAACCCTGGGATACCCTTAACTATCTAATTGCCAATGTGACACAGCAACGAGTATAAAATGTCAAAGTATTTTTCATTCAATCCGCAGTAAATCAAGCTGAGTTAGGTCTAAGGAAGAGGTGCTGTATCACACAGGGATGCAGTGACGCAGTATAACAAAAGTCTTAGCTCAGGCAGGCTCCCCCATTTCCAGTCTCTATGAGAAATTCTTTCTGTGCTGAAGCGTCCACTGTCAAAAGACTGGTACTACTGAAATTCCCTTTGGATACTCCTCACACTGTTGCTCTTCAGTGTCTCAAGCTGTCCATATTTATCTTCATATGTAGGAGAAATTAGAGGGGTACATTCTACCAAGGACATAAGAGAGCTCCATCTATTCCCACTACTGTACCCCAGTTCATAGAATCATAGATTTGAGTTGGAAGGGGCCTTTAAAGGTCATCTAGTCTAATTCCTCTGCAACAAACAGGGACACCTACAGCTTGATCAGGTTGTTCAGAAACCTGTTCATCCTGTTCCTGAATGCCTCCAGGAATGGGGTATCTACCACCTCTCTAGGTAACTTGTTCCAGTGCTTCACTACCCTTAGCATAAAAAATATTTTCCTTATATAACCACTCTTAGATTGAAATCATTTCCACTTATCCTGTCACAATAAACCCTGCTGAAGAGCTTGCCCCCTTAAAAGCCTCTGTTCAGATACTGAAAGGCTGCTCTCAGGTCTCCCCAGAGCCTTTTCTTTCCCACACTGAACAGTCCCAGCTCTCCCAGCACGTCCTTGTAGAGGAGGTGTTCCATCCCGAGTCATTTTTGTGGCCCTCCACTGGATATGCTCTAGCTGGTCCACATCTTTCTTGTACTGAGGATTCCACATCTGGATGCAGTACTCCAGGTGACTTCTCACCAGTGCAGAGTAGAGGCAGGATCACCTGCCTTGACCTGCTGCCCATGCATCTATCAATGCAGCCTAGGATACAGTTAAAACAGATACATATTTTGGATTCTGCAAAGAGAAAGACACCCATGCAGCTTCCTATCCTTATTTACAACTCAGAAGCGGACTTAAATTCACACACTTCAAAGGTCCACCAACTGGGGTAGGGCAGGAAAAGATAAGAATTGTTATCCATCTAATTAAATCTAAACCGAAGTAACCAGCCAAGCTGCTTTTAGCTTATCAGAACTCTTGAACAAACAGTGGTTGTTTTATACCCTGCTTGTAACTACTGACAATGGCTCAGTCCCTCACAATTCCACAAACTACCTGCCTCCTGCACTGTTCCCATTCTAGAGAGCTCATTTATCCAATGAGCCGATTCTACCTTACCACATACGTGAGACCACACCAAAGAGTCCTTTGCTGAGCAATTTCAATAGCTCTCAATCTTGCTGCTCATCACTCCTAGGATACCTTGCATGTTAACCTCACATACACTTGGATGCTAAGGGATTCATTCAACAGGGATTCAGTCACCTGCACTTGTGGTGGTTTCACATTAATATACAGCTATGCTCCACCACATTGCTCTCTACTGTCAACAACTCTATATCCAGGTAGAGACCAGACACAGGTGCTATCTCCTAGTGCTCTTCAATACCTTTATCAATAACATAGACAGTGGGATCGAGTGTGCCCATAGCACGGTTACTGATGACCCAAGCTGAATGGTGCAGTTGACACAATAGAAGGGAGGGACACCAACCAGAGGGAGCTGGACATGCTCAGAAACTGGGCACAAAAGAACCTGCACATGGTTTACAGGCTGGTTCAGCCCAGTCTAATGGGGCAAGTGGGACCCATGGACCCAAGCCCTAGGAAAGCAGGAAAGGAGAAGAGGGGAAAAAAGGGTAGGGAGAAGGGTCTAACAACACAACAGTGGCAATGATCTGAGGAGGAAAGTTAATATGCTAAATATAATATTGGAATGCAAGATAACACAATATACTACAATATAATTAAATTAAGGCTAAGAAATCAAATAAAGTGAGCAAGAGAGCATCCAAAACCAAAGACCTTACTCTAATGAAGACAAGATGGCCAGGGAACACAGGTGCAGAGATGAGCAGTGAAAGAAGGGCACATCTTGTGACCTGCAAACAGTTTTATCTTTCCTTCCAAGAGAAAATGGAAACAGAATAGTTGAAGTCTTCTGGGAGATGTAGTTCTTCCTCTCTTCTGAGGACCAGGTACCCAAAAATATCAAGAATCCATGGAACTGGAACATTAACTCTTTAACTCCCAGTGCACTGTATGACGTTACAATGCGATATACCAATAACAATCATAAAACCATGACAGAATCTAATCAGGTTTAACAAGGCCAAGTGCAACATGCTGCATTTTTCTCAAGGCAATCTCAGATATGAGTACAGATCAGGGGAAGAACTCCTCTGTGGAGAAGAATTTGGGGAGTCCTGATGGATGAAAAGCTGGACATGGGCCACCAGTGCTGTCTTCTGGCCTATAAGGTCAACGGTACCCTGGGCTCCATCAAAACACTGTCAGTTGCCCAGTGAGGTTGTGGATAACCCTCTATGGAAGCACTCAAGGCTAGGCTGGATAGGGCTTTGAGCAACATTGTCTACAGGGAAGTGTCCTTGCCTATAATAAAGGGGTTGAAAATAGATGATCTTAAAGGCCCCTTCCAACCCAAACCATTCCATGATTCTGTGAAAAGAGCAGTGACCAGCAGGAAGGAGGAGATTACTGCCTCTGCTCTGCCTCCGTAAGGCCCCATCTGGAGTACTGTGTCCAACCCCAGGGACACCAGCACAAGAAGGATGTAGTTGTTGAAGAGGGTCCAGAGGAGATCCACGAAGATGATCAAAGGGCTGGAACACCTCTCCTATGAATAAAAATTGAGGGAGTTGGGCATGCTTAGCTTACAGAAGAATTCGGGGGAGTCTTCACAGGAGTCTCCCAGTATTTAAAGGGTGATTGTAAGTAGGAGGGAAATCAACTTTTTACATGAGTAAATAGTAACAGGACAAGGGGGAACAGCTTTAAAATTAAAGAGGGGATATTGAGGTTAGATGTCAGAAATAAATCCTTTACTCAGAGAGTGGTGCTGCGCTGGAACAGGCTGCTCACAGAAGTGGTAGATGCCCTATCCCTTGAAGCATTCAAGGCCAGGCTGGATAAGATACTGGGCAGCCTGGTTTAGTGGCTGGCAACCCTACCCATGGCAAGGGAATTGAACATAAACGATCTTTAAAATGCCCTCCAACTTAAGCCATTCTGTGATTCTGGGACTAGAACAGCGAGAAACGAAAACCAAAATGGTTTCATGAGACCCCATCTAGAGTACAGTGTTCAGCTCTGGAATCCACAATGTAAGAAGTACATGGAGTGCATCTAGAGAAAGGCCACAATGAGCTCAAGGTCAGGCACAAGAGGGCTGGAGCATCTCTCCTATTAAGAAAAGGCTGTAAGTTGACATTGTTCAGACTGTAGAAGAAAGGGTTCTAGGGAGAACCCACTGCCACCTGTAAGAACCTAAAAGGAGACCAGCAAGAAAGATGGAGAGGGGCACTTAATGAGGAAATGTAGCTACGGTAAACAGGCCAATTGTTTTAAACTAAAAGAAGGTAGGTTTAAATTAGATACTAGGAAGAAATAATTCACTAAGAGGGTCCTGAGACACTGGAACAAGTTGCACTGGAGTAAGTTGCTCAAAAAAGTTGTCGTTCCATCCCTGCAAGTGTTCAAGTTCGACGAGGCTTTAAGAAACCTGATCTACTGAGCAGTGTCTCTGACAGTGGCAGGGGAGCTGGAACTAGGTCCTTTAAGGTCCTTTCTCACTCGAATGCTTTTTTTGATTCCATGATTCTATAAAAACACCTTCCATCACCATCCATCCTCTTCTTTCCTGCATTAGAAATACTGTGGCCAGCAGGAGCAGGGAGGTAATAGTCCCCCCGTACTCAGCACTGGTGAGGCCACACCTCGAGTACTGTGTTCAGTTTTGGGCCCCTCACTACAAGAAAGACATTGAGGCCCTGGAGCGTGTCCAGAGAAGGGCAACAAAACTGGTGAGGGGTCTGGAGCACAAGTCTTATGAGGAGCGGCTGAGAGAGCTGGGATTGTTCAGTCTGGAGAAGAGGAGGCTCAGGGGAGACCTCATTCTTTCTCCTCCTCCCTAGTGGTGCCAGAAGACAGAGAATGAGGATTACAGTCAGCCTCTGTCAGACCACATTCACCTGCTCTATGAGGAGCTCCTTCCAACTGCTGCAGGGGAAATTCTGCTCTGTGTCTGGAGCACATCCTTCACTCCTTCTTCACTAACCTTAGTGGCTGCAAGGGCTGCTCATCTGTTTCTCACTTCTCTCTCCCCCCACTTCTGTGGTGCAGCAGTTGTTCCCTTTTATCTGACATGGGTCAGTTGCTGGGCTCTACTCACAAAGGCTACCCCTGCAGCTCTCATCATATCAAAATCCTGCCACACAAGTCCCATACAGCAATCTTCCCAGCTTATCTGGATGTTCACTCTCTGCAGAGTTATATTCATGAGAAAGTAAACAAACTCCAAAACAAGAAAACCCCCAGAGTCCCTCTAGCTGCTGTGGTCTGCCTCCTAGACACAGATCCTCACTGCCTTAGATCATTTCAGACGACACTCATTCTTGTCTCAAGATTTACAGGGGCAAGTCAAAGGGTTTACAAAGAACAATCTAAGTTCTTGGAAATACCTCTCTCACTCATAGATGAATTCTTCAGTGACTTTTTTAATTACTCACAGATGCTTGGGTGTAATGCTAGTGCATGGAAACAATTTATCTCCGGCTTTAAAAGCTCAACCAGGTTCACAGCACAAAATCCACTTCTTGGCTTTCTTGCGTGTTTAGGAAAATTAATGATACAAGAGCCCAATTCTTCTGTTGCCTTCGGGTGATGAACATGTCTCTGAATTGGCAGGTCAGACAGCAGGATCCATCATTTAGTCATCTCAAGCCATTTGTTACACATGTTGATATCATGATAGCTCCTTAACCCAGCAAGAAAGTGATTGGCCGTCTCCATGGGGATTTACTTCACAGTCTCCTAGTTACAGCTGCAACGGATACAGCTCACCAAGGTACTTCTGATAAATGCCCACCCAGCAAAATCATTGGCCTTTGGCCTTCTGTAACCCTGGTGGCTTTTAGCTATCTGTGTTTACAAAAAGGCCAGTTGCTGCCACTGAGCTTCAAAAGGCCTGCCCCAAACCTGGTGACAAGGAATTGTAGCCTTTGCACAGAGGAAGCAAGGAGAAAATGGACACATAGGCGTGTAAAGTCTAACAAAAACTCGATTCACTTCAGACATCTATCACTTCCATCTTGGGACTTCTGCATAAACAGGAGATCAAAATCTTGTGTTGATATCTGTATGCAGGAGGGTCCAAAGGAACAGGTATTTTTTGCTGTCACTGGATATGTGCAAATGCAGTTATGTGGACTGTGGCTACAGGTCTACAAGCGCTTGAGCATACCTGGGTATTTCCAGAATGCACACAGCAGAAGCCTGTGCCTCGTATGCGTCAGCAAAAAGATGCTCATACGCAAGTATGCAGACATGAGCACATCTGCAGACGGGGAGATGAGTGCATATCTGGTTGTACCTGAAACATTTGTCAGTGACCTCTGTCAGTGTGTGGCAGGAGAGGTGGCATATGTGTATCAGTGAGGAGAAACACTGTATGGGTGCAGCTGTTTGTGTATGAAGGCAACATGAGTGCATTAGCCATGGATGTGTAAGGACAACGTATGCTTACTTCAGAGAAAGAATATACTGTCTTAAAGGAGGAAAGATATATGCAGACATGTTTCCTCCTGAAATATACACACAGTACACCAAACCCTTCTTGACATCCTCAGCCTTATTCTAGTTTTGTGGTCAGCATCAGCAGAGTAATCTAAGAACACAAAAGGACTGACCACCACTCTCCCTCCATATAGCTCTTCCAGGTGACAAATGAGGTGCATGAGAACCATAAAGTGAGACTACCAATGCACATACATACATGGGAACATGTATTCCCTCACCTTCAGGAAGTCAAAGTTCTTGAGCATCTGAGCAACCCTTTCAGCATTTCTGCCCTCATTGAGGAAATCCAATTCCAAAGGCAGATTCTTTTTTGCTTCATCCACCAGCCACATGAACTCAAAATCTGGAAAGATCTGCTTCACAATCAAGAGAAGAACCTGAGAACAATGAAACAGACAGTCAGCCACACTCCAGTTTCAAAGCCACACAGCTACCACAGTGCTGCGCTGGCAGCTACACAAAGCAGACGCTGTTTTGACAGGATTATTCCATGTAACTTAAACATATAAAAATTTAAAAATCCACCTTAAGTACTTGTAGGATTTCTGCAGTATTATAATACATTATATGGCTTCATGCCTTGAGTCTGCAACACAAATTTTGGCTTGCTCTTCCACACAGACACATCCAGGAGTGAAATAATAAGACACAAAAGAGTAGCAGCCGGAACCCAACTGCCTGCTGCCTAAAACTGAGTGATCAAAGCCCTGGAGATGAGAGGACAAGACAGATCTTTCCAAGAGAATAGCCCAGCAATTACTTTCTGTTGAGTCTTTAACTCTTTTAATTCCATAGGTCATGGTTTGGCTTCATTGGAATAGAAAAATCGGAATCTAAAAATAAGATTTATCACCTCTGTGTTACTTCTTCCACTACCAAACAAAAATTTTGCTAATTCAGAAAATCCATCAGGCAATTCAAAGAAAACAGTGGAATTCAGATACAGTGAGTAAGCAACATGTCTTTAAACAAACTTTTGGTGAGGAGCAAGTTGCCTCTCAGTGTCAGTGACAGCAACTCTGAGGTAGCATCCTCTTCTTAAGGGAACTAGGCAGCTTCACATGGCTTTGAAAATATCTACTGAAATGATTCTGGAAATGTTTGTTTAGAGCAACTTGTACTAAAGGAGCCAGTAGAAGACACTCCTCCCTGAAGCCTATCCAAGACTATGTGTCTGGATGGCAAAACCAAAGCTGCACAGCAGCCAAGAATGCTTTCTATTCAGATGAAGGGCCAGTTTCTCAGCCAGTGTCACAAATATATAAAAGCTGACAATTTGGAGCACACGTTAAGGAAGAAATATACATATTTTTTAACTAATGAGTCATGAAACAAAAATAAAAATTCACAAACTTCATCTTACTTGTTCTGTATGTCATCTGAAAATGAAAACAAATATGCCATTGTGTTCCCGGACAGTTTTCTCTCTTAGATCTCCCACCAACAAGGTGGGGATTCCTGTACTGCAGGAGGAACATTAAAACAAGCATAGAAAGTTGTTATCATTGAAACGTGTGACAAAAAATAAATTTGTGAACCATCACTGCCACTGTTCAGCTATGTGAAAACATTTATTCTCCACCTCTCTCTCTACTTCTCTTATCTAAATGTCAGTTCCAAACTCAATGTTCCTTTAAAATGTAATCACCAGGTTCCAGACACTACTGAATGATTTTTTACTGTTATATCTAAACCCACAAATCCTTACAAATTCATGTCATCCAAATGAAATGTAACCAACAATCTTCATGAACATGTACATAAACTTTATAGGAGCTATTGATGCTTGATGTGAGAAAATTCAGACATTATTTTTGCTTCCTTTGAATGCTCTTCAGAACCAATTTGCCAACTTGACCATCAGCAGTGACATACTTGGAAAATATTTGGCTTGTCACTTTTCTGACATCTGTCTAACACATTGTCCTGAAATAAGAATTGACATAAGAGCAGAGGGATCTCTCCCTGGATTTATCAGATGGTGTCCTGATTTTTAAAGAGTCAGAAAATTATGTTACAAAATCACAAGTGAATTCAGGAATTTTCCATCTATATTCAGATTTTTTTTTCCATCAGTCTCTAAAGAAGACTGTCTCCAACAACATTTAAATTAACCTCCTATCTAACTGCAGTGGCTGATTCTTAAAGGACCAGAACCTCGGTGGATATAACCTAGCTTTAAATGCAGCCTTATCAAACACAGTTCCACGCAAGGATATGATGATGCATATTTAAACCAACACTCCAGTGAAGGACCATTAAAAAAAGACCAAATGCATCACGTTGCGAGGTATTTTCCCAAAAATGCGTGCACATAATGGAGCTCCAGTACGACAAACTAGATTGTCTGCAGAAAAGACAATACCAAACTGACAATAGGATGCACACTGCTTTAGTTTTACATTTCCAAGGAGGATTAGCCCAAAAACAGGAAAAAAAAAATCTTTAAATTATTTGTCTGAATCTCTCTTAACAGCATAATTACCAATCACAGTGTCATAAGGTGAGGGGGGATTTTTTTTCTGTGGTGTCCACTGTTTACAGCACAAATGGCTGAAGGTGAATCTAGGTCTTGACTCATTCATACACAATTCTCTCTTACTGTGCTGATCTCACAGTCTTTCTTCATCTTGTTCAGTCTTGACTGCTCAGTTTCTGCTATGCTGTCCTGAGCAGGAATGAAGGATGCCAAATGACAACTCACAAAAGCAAAGTCATGGGGCAGACTACTGCAGTCAGTCCTGAAGAAAATCTGGATCAAATCCAAAACTACAACTGGCACCAAAGCCAGTTCAAACTGTTCTCTGTTCTCAAACAAGTCCAGAATCAAACATATTCCATATTAACAGAATATATATTTATCGAACTCCAAAATTTATGCTACTAGTAATTCAAAATAAACGATGCTACAATTTGATGTGCTCTAACTGGAACCAGCTGTGTTGGTTTGCAGACTACCAAGATTGCTCAGAGCACAGTGTTTTATTGGTTTAAAAAGTTTTAGTTACGCACTGCTCTCTGAAAGGGTGCTGGATCTTTGTTTCCTGATCTGTTGTGATGGAGAAGTGTGTCACTGCATCAGCAGTATCCTCAAAACTCTTACCAGGCAGGCTTCCTGAGCTTCAACTTCTCTTTAGTCCCAAGAACATAATGTCTACTAATAGATGTATTACATTGCATTTCTGCTATACGTACAGATATGTACTTATTGGAGAGCTAAAAGCATTAGTACTAGCACTTACAGATCTAACCTTTCATCTCTCCTCCATCTGAGCCCCACTTCCATTTCTGTACCATACCACTGGCATCCCTGATTATTACAATGCAAGCACAGTACCACAGCTTTTCTCCAGTTTCTCTCTTCAGTGGACTAGACTTCAGGAGATTGAGAGAAGCCACAGCACTGCACTGGGAGCACAAGCCAGTGCCTACCATTCAGGAGAGAAACTTGTTTCTAGCTGAACCCCTCCTTTGTGCATCTGTTCCTGTTACGTTACACTCTCCATATTTCAATGTTTTTATTTCCACCATGAATCAGGTCAGCATTAAGGTGCCAATCAAGAAATAGAACTGAATCACAGCAGCCTTAACCAAAAAAACACGCTGACGTTGGTGAATGATTACTCTTTGGTTACATAGACCAGAATGCAAGGGGAACTGCAACCAGTATAATCAACGAGGTAATGGGCACACAGACATAAGAGTAAACCTGGAAGTCTCTCTAATCTTCAACTCATAAGGACTTGATCAGCTGTGATTCACGTTTTACCTGTCTGTCCCTCTCTCCCCTTTTTCACTCTCACCCTCTTGTTCAGCCCTTCCATTCACACAACCATCCTCACAGCAATCTTCACCGACTTCCTGTGTTATGCCTGTATGACATCATTTATGTCTGTGGAAGTTCCAAAGCTACAGAACTGATTAATGTTATACCTGCTCACTCCTTGTCATTTGAATTACAACTGTCAAAGTCACCAGGCAGCTTTACCTCCATGAGGAAAATATCCTTGGAGCTCTGAGCTTGGACCTTTGGGTGCTGGATTTTTACTGCCACCGTTCTCCCATCCTGCAGCACTGCCTTGTGCACCTGGGCTAGTGATGCTGCTCCCAAAGGTGTGTCCTCAAAACTCACAAAGAGTTCTTTTACCTGTCAGGAAAAGGGAAAGAGGCATCAGCTTGGGGTGCCAGAAACCACCCATAAGGAAAGCCTTGACCACTGGTCAGAGGCAGTATGCACCAAATCTGTGCAGTCTCAGTTCTTTCATCATTTCTATGTCCTCTGCCTACCCTTTTCATTGCTTGGCCTCCCAATGAAGCCTGCCCAGCAAGGAAGTGTTCTTAGAAGTGGTCTGTTTATGGAAACCTATGTCAGAGTGTCAGCAGCACATTTCATCTAGGATGTGGAACGGCCAAGGCACCAGGAGAGGGACCACTGCAAGCTGTCTTAAAAACAATTTGGAGAAATTATGGTCGGCATCCTTGGCTATCAAGGGGTGCTGTAGCCACTATTAGCACAGTAGCATGATATCATCCTGGCAAACTAGGCAGGCTCCTCTGCTCCCCTAAAAAGGGGTGCCAACATGGTTATGTTTGTGCTAGTTTGTGTAATGCTGATCAGGAATTTTTGTCCTGCTCTGCAGAGCAAGATACACACAATCTCTAAGATATCCCTAAGAGTCAGCAAAGGGAACACTTCCCACCCTTTGCCTGGGCTGGACTGATGTTGAGTGAACAGTTGAGAAACCTGTAATTTATGCAGCAAAAAAAAAAAAAGAAAAACATATGACAAAGAACATCAGTGCATTTTTATAACCTGCTTTTTAAAAGATAATTAAAGATGGAAGCTGCAGTGAGCTAGTAATTAAGTATGAATAAAGACTTAATAAGCGAAGTCTTCATGCAAAGTGTTAAACGAATATTCTTTTTGCTGACAAGGAGAAAAAAATACTATACGAGGAGCAGCTTGTTCCCTTCTGCAGCTGCCAGGGAATGAGCCCCCTCCTACACCACCCTACCCCCTTCCCTCCCAACCCCTTCCACAGAAATCTATTGGCAGCAACAAACTGGAGCGTTTGCAGCCATTAGATTCCAACAGTGGCTCAGCTGCCTCCAGCAATTCACGAGGAAGGTGTCTTATTTATTTATTTAATTCTGTTTGGTCCTGGCAGCAAAATCAATTAAGTAAAACAACTGCATTTAAAAACAACTAGTTATGTGTTTTTTTAATTACAGCAGGTCCATAATTCAAACCTATTGACATTCCTGTCTTGTGAGAGAAAACGTTTTTTTCTCTTCCTCCTCCCTTTCTTTTCTCTCTCACTTCACTGGATTTTGAGATTCTCATTTCAGATTAGTATAAAGAAAGAAACACCTACAGGATGACAGATGGCTCAAGGGATGTGTTGAGAGACAGATTTCTACTTTTGTGTGGTTTGTCTATCAGATGAAGAGGGAGCCCGTTAAGAAGAGACTTAAGGCGCCAGGAGGAACACATTGGATACTACGATATTCTTAAGGAAAGAAAAAACACCAACAGAGAATTTGCTACCTGAGGTCAAGCTGGGACTTTCTTCACCTCTTCTACTACTCCACATCCTCGCATTAAAGGAAAATACCCTTTACAGGATCCCAGACAAGATTACCAGTCCACCTGTCACAAAGACAGTAAGATCCTCTAAGAGGTTAAAGCACAGAACTGGGAGTGCACTGGCCTGAATCCATTTTAAGGTACATTTTTAGCAAAACTGCATATAAACTGCATAAAATTCCAGCTGCTCTGGATCTCAAAAACTTTTAATTGCCTACACTGTCAATCCAGTCATTTTCACCACTACTGAATGTGTGCGGGGGGGAAAAAAAAGCTGCACATATTCCTTCTAGTAGGAATAATATATACAATATTCTTGTGTGACCAAGTTTTCCAAGGAAATATCATTTGAAGAAAGCTGTCTCAAGAAATTCTTTTGGGCAGAAGGATTTCATTTAAAATCTTTTTATTAAGGACAAGAAAGCCAGGTTAGCATTCCTGTCCACTAGAGCCAGCCCAGCAGCCCTGCTGCAGTTCAAGGGGAAATCTGTGCTTGCCTGCAGGCTCCATGCCAAGGCACCAAGGGGAGGGACCACAATGGGGTCAGAGAATTGATGGCTCCTATAGGAGCAGAAGAGGAACGCATGCACATGAGGGAGGGAGCAGATCACAACCAGACCATTACATGAGCAGGTGTGAGACTGAGATAAAGCAGCAGCAAAATTACAGCAGGGCTCCAGGACCCCACTTAGCAAATTGCCCTCATTCATTATGAAATTGTCCTTTTGCAGTGTGCTGGAGGCAACTAGTGCCTCTGAAGTGGGCTGCATGTCCCAGAGAGGCAAAAGTGAGTATGAGGCTGCATGCTATGGAGGCAGAAAAGGGGGAGCCAGGCTCCTACAGTGCCTGTCACAGAGGTCCTTCCCAAGCGAATGGGTGCACCCAGTTCGTGGAGCAGGCTGTATGCTCTTACTGCTCACGAGTACCCAGTGACCCTTACAAAAAATTCTGCCCACCATTTCCATGGTGGCTAATTAGCAAGCAAAGGTCTGGGGGAGTTTTGAAGCTCACCTGACGTGGTACTTAAAGAATTTTTCTTCCAGGCCACAGCTCATCTCAAAGGGCTTTATCAAACTGGTTGTAACCATCTGCAATCCTAGCAGGAGATTAAACAAGCATAATTTCCAGACAGGTTTAATAAAGGTTTAAAAGAGAGAATAGAAACTTTACCAGTGTTCTTCCAAATGAGCATGACAACCAGCTGCACGTTTACAGCTGCAAAGGTGGGCAGCATCCCTACACACAATGGTTTCCCTCATTAGCTTTCTGTACATCCCACTCCACACTGGGCACGTGCTCAACCAGCAAATGAATATGTCATTGTACTTCACTGATCGGAAACAGCCCTGGCTGCTTAATACTAAAGAATGAAGCTTGTTTAAAATATGCAAAATCTTTTCATGATCGTTGGTATTAGTATTCACACCTTAGGGAGCTGATATAAAAGCTCTTGCAGGATCCATCTACTCAGATGCTTCTTAGCATGCATTTGTGCTGAGGTTGCACCAAAGCATTGTTGTTAAGCCCAGAGTGCTATTGTACAAAGGTGCAGAGCCATGCAAGCCCCGCACAAGCTCTCACATTCTAGTTGTCCCAGGTTGTTGCCCACAATTCTCCTCATGCACTGAAGCATCTTCCCAAAGCACACACTGCTCTGCTCGAGCTCCATGGCACACGTCAGCTGATGCTGCAATGCTGAGCAACAGAATGCTTCAGGTTTTTTTGTGAATCTTGTCCTTAAACACTTAGGAAATTACAGGAAGTCAATTGGATTTAAGATGCTAAATCCTAAGTCTTTTCTGAAAGCATTGCCTTACATGACCTGCCCAGCATTTTCTGAGAAGTCTTTGGCAGAGCTGGGATTTAAACCAGATATCCTGAGTTACAGCCCAGTGTCTTAATCTTCAAACCATAAACATTAAATGCACATGTCTTGCTAGCTAATTTCTTTTGAAGTACGTTGCTTCTTAATCCCAACCTTTTTATATCCATGTGCTACAGTAAATGGTCAAATACTGCTGCCAGGCTCCAACCTGCCCACTCAGCGCTGAGGTACACTTCACTCTCCAGAAGGGCTGCCAACAAGCTATCCCCTTGAGCAGGATCTAAGTGATGGAACCCCCTCCTGACCCAGCACTGAGAATTCTTGTTTTCCACATCTATTTATAGAAAAACTTTCCCAAGCTCTGCCAGAGCCAAACCAGTATGGTACAGGTGGGTGACTCAGGAGACCTCCAAATGCTCAGTATTTCCATAGGAAAGGGAGCTCTTCACCAAAGCATTTCAAGACTATCTTCAATTTATGGTTTTTTTTTTCCCCCTCAAAGGGCCATTCAGTGTGGAAAGAGACAACAGGGAGGGAACGTCACAGAGAACTTCAGTCACGGAAAATGGGATTGGCACTGTTCATTCGTTCTGCAGAAAAATTCAGGAGCAGCAAATTGTCCATTAACACACAAGATTAGCTGACAGCACCATTAAAAACGAGGAAAAAAAAAAAAAGTATTTTTCCCCATATTGCTGAAATAAGCCATGGAACTCATTGCCACAGGGGGTTACAAATTCCAAAATTCCTGGCAGGTAGATTAGCCAGTGTAGAAAATCCAGCACAAGTTACTGAACACGAAGATACAACCTCTGACCCAAGAAATAACTAGCCATCAGATTATGAAAGGTGGAAGATCATATCAGGTAAAGCTTAATTGTATGCCAGCCCTGCCTTTATAGCCTTTCTATGGCACTGAACACTCCCTTCTAAATCACAGCTCCATGGATGGCAATTTGCTAAGGTGAGCAAGCTCAGACTGCAGCAGCTTTCTGAGATTTACACAAAGACTGTGCAGTCTGCAGCCTCCCAGATGGGACAGTGTGGAGCACAGTGATAATGAGATTTGCACGACAGAACCACACGTGGGAACAGGAGCAAGTTTCCCAGGGAAGTTTTGGGCACTGCAGCTGTCATCTTCACATAGCTTAGCACAGGGTCGCCCTGCTCTCTCATGGCAGAGTAGCCGAAGAGTTATTCAGCTCTAGGCCTGACGCAGCATTTCTAAGAATTATGGCTCCTAGAACTTCTAGAATTCTCGTTACTGATAATGGGACCCTACTGCTTTCAAAAGTCTGGATGCCTTTCCTGAATCAGGTCCAAGGGATGTGAACCTACCTGCTTAATGGTCACCTTTTCAAGAATGTAGACCTAACTGTCCATGGCACCAAAAAAAACCACTGACCCCTGCAAGAGTGGAAAAACCTAGTTCTAGGCAAGAGAAAATGTTACACTGGGTAGAGTAAGCTATTTCTCAGACAGCAGATGAGGGTTGGTTTTTTTTTTTTTCCCTATTGCCCCAGCCTCTCTATCCCCTCTATGAAAACAAAATGTGACAGCGTTGCTCCCAGAATTATTAAGACAGCAAAAACTGAAAGATTAGATTTATCGCAGCAGACAGTGGATTATGAAGAATAATTTATCAAACGTCAGAACAAACAGCCTACAATTTATAGGAGGCTTTGTTGAGTCAGTGAAATCTGATTGGGCTTCTCCCCACCTAATGAATGCCAAG